TGGCAAGTCAGTTAATTATTCAAATTATTGAAGTTTATGCTTTCATCAGCAAAATATATATTTATTAATCTATTTAATCATGTTTTATATTACGGTCTGTAATAATTTATGTACATAACACCTGTAATATTAAATATTTATCTAGTTAATCATTTTAGTTTATATAAATATATTTTTATCTGTTCATATTATATTTTATTATACTATTTTTTAATGTTCAACAACTATGCCATGTTTAAATATCATTCGTCACACACATATTCAAAAATCTAAAAAACAATATCAATATGTTAAGTGATTTATTATATAAATTGTACATTTACTATTTTGTTATAATTTAAAAATATTTGATTACACATTATTATATTATAATTCAAACAAATAATATCATATACTAGCTTATTTTTTTTTAATAATAATAAGGTTTAGACTCTACGGCTAACTTAGAATTTTACATGGTCCATTAAAAAGTGGTAGTGCTATGCAATTGGTCTAATTATATACAAAGTTATGAGAATATTTGCTGTCAGGATATTAAATAGTATTTTAATAACATTAAAACACCATTTTAAGTGGAAAATAGTTTTTTTTTWAATATGTTGTAYAAACAAAACTAGTATAAATATATGATATAATATGTACAAAAAAATAGATTTATAACTTAATTTTCAATTATTGAGGAAAATTATCACAAGTATTTTTAAATTTTAAATATTATTGGTTATAAAAAGTAACCAAAAATTAATTTAGTCAAATTTTGTTACATAGTTTAAATACAATTATTTAGAATTTGATTTGTCAGGAGTGCTAGGCATTTGTGTCATATTTGAATTAATTTCTKAAAAATCAAGTACAAGATGCTGTTTAGATGGAGTGTGTTGTCTGACAGATACACCTGACGCTTTAAACATTCTTTTAGAGGCAACCATTTCTGGTTTAAAGCTATATTTATCTGACAAATACACTACTTCTTTAATACCTGATTGGATAATTATTTTTGCACATTCATTACATGGGAAAAGTGCAACATAAATGGTACAATTACGTAGATCCATAGAATTTTTATTTAAGACAGCATTCATTTCAGCATGGCATACTGAAAATATAAATGAGGATCAAATTTATTATTTTAATATCATAAAATTAAATAAATATAAATATTATGACTTACCATAGAAATATTTGTTTTCTAACTTTGATGGATTATTTTTACCCCATGGAAAGTCATCATCATTACATCCAATTGGCATTCCATTATACCCTGTACCTACAATTTTTTTGTCTGGAGTAACAATACAAGCACCAACTTGAGTAACTGGATCTTTACTACGTTTAGCAACCAAAAATGCTGTTGCCATAAAAAAATCGTCCCAGCTTAAATAATTTTTTCGCTTCCTATACATAAGTATAAAATTTTATAATATTAGACAATTGAATTTATATTGTAATCTACAATCCTACTCATTTGAAGTGTCTGTTTCAACACTAGTATTTTCGGTTTTAACATTATCATAGTATTGTGTTGTTTCATTAATTGAGTAAATTTCGACTTTAGATTCATTGACATTAATTTGATGTTCCATATTAGGTTCAATCAGCAATTTTGGTATCTGAAACATTATCTTGTTAAATTTTTTTTAATACTTACATGTGTCCTGTGAAGGCATCTGAGTGATAATAACAGAAATTAGTATAAGAAATAAAACTTCAAATGGTTGTATGATGTTTTTTTTACTATCTTTTTCCATTATGATTTTAAATAACATTCATACAATTTATATATTTATAAATAATTTAAAAAAAAATCAATTAGTGAGTGTCAATACTGGATGATTTCTCACATCAAGTATAGCTTGTTAATATTTGATTAGTCTAATTGTTTAAGCGATTATTAAAATTAATTTATATGTATACCCTAACCACATAAGCCTATTATGCCCCTAAGATATAGATTACTTATTTTAAATAAAGAAAAAAAATATAAATTGTACAAGATGAACTACATTAATGTCCATTCCTAGTTCTTTGATATGGTTCCCTGAGGCAATTCTCACGATGCCACAAGAAGCCGCAACGTACAGTTTGAATACATCTGTGATAATATTATATCTGAAGTTATGAAAAAAAAACCCGTTTAAGGGTACATCTAACTTTTATATTAAAAAAAAWTATTCTAAAATAAGTTGGATCAAATTAATATTTTTGAAAATTCTACAGAATAATACCTAGAATATTACATTGTTTTTTTCACATCTTCCATAACTTCCAAGTGATACTGCTGTTAAACGTGACATGACTTCAGATTGACATTAAACAGTAAACAATGTCTAACAATGAACAACAGACTTAGATGAGATACGTACTCACAAAGAGATATAATTTAGGAAAACAAAATGCTTAAGGTACTTATTCTAGTTATTATTCTGCAGAATAATAAAATAAAACCTGTAGTAAAAACGTTGTTATTGTTATGCACATAATTTCCTTTCAAAAATATTAATTTATTGGTAAGTAGTGTGGTAGGTTAGGTAATTACCTATAAGTAAAAGAATGTTAAACCCACCCTGTTATGGGTTTTTTTTTTATAACTCCAGGTATATTATTATATGATGCCTCCCGGTCACTTCTTCATGGGACATATTATATTATATACATATAACCAAATGGTCATTATATATATATATACACCATAACTAGTGTTAAGTTAGGTAGTTACTAGTTAGTAACATAGAACGGTTGGTAAAC